GCAGGGCAAGATGCGGACGCAGAAAGTCCTTGAAGGGCCTGCAGAGATCCTAGGGCTAGATCAGCGCATGGATGGCTGCTTGGAGAGCCTCATCCCAGAGGGCTACACGGGCAGTGGCATTCTTCCGATTGTCCTCAATCGAACCCAATTGACAGAGAGGTTACTGGGTGGCAAGTAATTAACTATATAGTCTGAGTCTGAGAATGATATTTGGTGGTAGTGGTAGAATAGAATGGTATTTCCAGGATTGCATATTACATGTTGCTCAGCACACTGTCGGACGGACGGCTTGCTCTGTCAGGTTTGTAGCTTCTCTTGGTGAAGGGGCCACGGAAGAGGAGCGGCATAAAGCATCACTCAAAGTATCTGGGGTGTCTTTGCTTGCCAATCACCGGGGAGAAGTTCAAACATCTTTTTGCGCTGGTGGAATTGGATTGGTTTACTACCAGTGCGAAGGCTCCAAGATGCTAGCAACCATAGATTTTGAGGAAGCACTGGAGGCTGTGAAGTTGTTCCTAAGTTTTGCTGAAAAGGCAAGCGTTGCTTTTGTGTAGAGTTTTGTTCTGGTTTTAGATATGGAATTCAATGGAAAAAATATTTTTTCAGTTTAATATTTAATATATAATAATACAATAGTATAGAATAGACTAATAGACTATAGACTATTATAATGTGTAATAAGACTATTAACTATATATTATAAGTCTTTTTTTGACACTTGATAAATGGGCGACGAAACTCAGGTTGGAGATGCACGAGCTGGACCCTAGTGGGCAGCCGTTAAGCTTGAATGCACACAAGCTGGGCGATGGTGATGGTGATAAGACTTCCAGTGAGACCAAAGAGCTGTTGCTATCGGCAGTCACATTTCTTGAGAAGTTGTGTGTCCCGACCTTGAACAAGCTGGAGGAGCTTGATCCTGACAACCGCGCAGTACCATCCCTTTGCATCTCATACATTTCACCTGGAGATGTGCTGTTCATACCACCAGGGGTGCTCATTGTGGATAAATCTCTGAATGCCAACTCTATGGCCTTGAGAGTCCCATCCGTTCTAGTTGACGACACCACTGGCTTGAGACTGAAGATGGTTGAGAGATTTGGTCATGTGAATCTTGGAAAAAGAACATCATTTAGTCTTGTAGTAACCTAGTAGTAGAATAGAATCAGAATGGTAGGATTGATCATCTAAGTCGATGTCATTTTTTTGTTCATGCCTGGGCCCCTGGGCCCTGGGCCAAGCCGGCCAAGCCCGCTCCAAGGACACCAGTTTCAACACTATGGATGAATGCTATCAATGAGATACAGGACCAGTTGGACAAACGCAGGAATGACTATGTCCTACCCTGAGGTTATTTTAGGAAGTTGAACCGCATGCATCATGCAGGTTGCAAGTCAGTTCCAAGACTCATGAGTCATGAGGTCGAATGGGAGGAGAAGAACTTCTTCACCCTCGATGAACTGGAACAAGCGGCAGCGGCAGCGGAAGCGGCACCAACTTCTGATTCAGCAGCTACACCAAAGCAGCCTGAAGCCGATGAAGCAACCACTGCAGCTGCAGCTGCACCAAAACAAGAAACCACTGCAGCGACGGCAACAGCAGCAGATCAAGGACCAGGCATGCCAAACACAGCATTGGCATCAGAGTCACAGGCCTTGCCAGTACCGGAGCTAAAGCAAACACCAGCAAGCACTGGCACTCCAGAGACTCCAGCAGCACCTCCAGTACGAGGCCACAGCCCAGAGTCTGCAGCCGAGCAAGTGGATGAGGCAGCAGAGTCCTTGGTTCTTGGACCAAAGGCAGCACCAGAACTAGAACCAACCGACATTCCAGCTCCACCAGAAAGCATTGGCAAACCAGAAGTACCAAACCAAAGCTCAGAGTCTGCAGCCGAGCAACCAGAAGCAAAGAAAGTGGATGAGGATGAGGCGTCACCAGAAGTAGCAGCAGCACCAGCCGACATTCCAATTCCACCAGAACGCAGTGGCAACTCAGCAGTACAAGACCCAGTGATCTCTCCCGAACCCTTACCAGCACCACCGGCTTCCAAGCAAGAGACTCAAGCACTACCAGCCAGCAGTAGCATTCCAGCCACCATCAGCATCGATTCTGAGGATGAGGACTTGGGAGGTCATGCTCAGGATGGATTGATGGAGTTGGAGCGAGCCAAGGCATTGACCGAGCAAGTCATTGAAAAGGAACTAATGATGTCACATCATGATATGCCAAACCGAACTCAAGCTGCTGCTACAATCCTGAACAGCAGCCACCCAGCAGGTTTTAGCGCTGATTGGCAGACATTGCATGCTTCCCTCAACCAGGACATCGAAAGCGCCGCAGAAGAGAAAGGCTACTGTGTGATGAACCTTGACCTGCCGACAGCCATGCCACAAGAACCTCCTTTCTCCGAAGATGACTTCAATGCCAAACGCCTCCAATTGGCTGAAATTGCAGATGCCAGGGCTAAGCAAGTGCTCAAGTCCAAGAACGGCAAAGATGCACATATTATCCTTGCAGCCCAGACGGCGTTAGCGCATGCAACAGCCGCAGTAGAAAATTATGAAGCATCATCAGCGACGGCAGCGGCAGCTGAAGGCCAAACACAGCAGACCCATCCCAAGCCAGCAGATGCACCATCCACTGAAGCATCAGCGCAAACCCATCCCAAGCCAGCTAAGCCAGCTGATGATGATCCAACAGCAGTGGCAGCTGAAGCTAAAGCTGTCGTTTGTAGTTCAAGTTCCGCTTCCGACTCTTCCGACTCCGACTCTGACTCTCAGCACGATGATGATGCCGACCATCCGCAGGTTGTCCCTGAGCAGGCTGATCAGGCCTCTGCATCAGCAACACCGCTGCATCACCAACCCGCAGGCAAAGCGGCAGCCCAGCCTGCCCAGCCCAAGTCCACTCCCAAGTCCAAGGCCCAAGCTAAAGCTCGCACAAAAGCAGATGCTCTCTCGAAGGCAGCAGCAGCTAAAGCAGAGGCCAAAGCAAAGGCCAAAGCAGCCCAGGCAGAGAAGAAGGCACTGCAGGCCCGAGAGAAAGAGGCCAAGAAACTAGCCAAAGCTGCCGCAAAGGCTCAGTCATCCTCTTCCAAGCCCAAAGGCCGTGCAAAGGCTTCCGCCACCAAGCACAAGGACTCTTTTCTTTCAACTGAAACTGACTCACTCACTGACATTGTTTTCATATTCATAGTGCACCATATCAGACCCCAAATTAAAGCGTTCCACTAATTCCATTGGGGCTGCGGCTGGGGCGGCTTTGCTTTACAGATGCCTGATGCCACATTCGGATTCCACCAGGACGCGAAGCCTCAGCCCACTTTGCATGAAATCATGCAATCTACCGGTGAGAAACGTGCTTCGCGGGCTGTGATTGAGGATGTGCTCAGCAAGCGTCAAAGACGCACATAGTTTATTTCAGGGAGTGTGCCAGCGCGCCGTTGTCGGCCGGTCACATGATTTAGGTGTGGTTTAGTTTAGGGGCTAATGCAGCACAGGGGGTAGCACTCATGAAGGCCAATCGGGTGCAAAGGCAGAGGCAGCTGTCTTCAAATGAAGAAATCTTTCAATTAAACTCTTTGTGTCTTGAATTTGTCTTCGCCCTTGCAGTCTGTTTGACTCACGTCTGGAAAAAAAGACAGGCAGAGTCATGTGCCAGAGTGGCCCCGGCTCCTTTTTTGCATGTAATCCAAAGATATTGACAGACAGACAGCTGTTGCGAGGGCTGTCACTTTGGCTTCCAATGTTTCCAGAAGTTCACAGTTCACTGATTCACTGCTTTAACTTAAGTGTGTTCTTGACCGTGTGTTCTATTCAATGGTAAATAGTAAATGTTTTCTCATTATGTTGTGTTCATTTCCTCTGCACTGTGCTGCCCTCACTTCCCACAGAAATGCTTCTGTGACAATCTGAGAAACTGGTCTGGTCATCGGGGAAAAAAGGTTGGCAGAGATGAGCTCTTCATGGCAGGGATTATAACCTGTTCGCTGAGGCACTGAGTCCTATCTTCCTGGAAAAGTATTAAGCCATTTGAATTTCATTGGTGTGAGCACACACCCTGATTCAGCTATTAGTGCTTTAATTCCCCAACCCATGGTCTTTATCTTTTATTTACAGTATATATTTTCTACCACTAAATACCCATAGGTTGTGAAAATTTACATTTTGGAGTGCCGAAAAAAGCGCTTGAACATTTCGTGTCCAAAGAGCTGCTAGTCTCAACCGAAAAACGCGCTCCAAGGAAGTTGGAAGCCATGGAAGTATTACACGGCCACGGAGCGGGAAGTGGTGGAAGCCTCAGATACATAGGCGTTTGTAGAACGAGCGACTTGTCCCAGCTCAATGGAGTGAGTACCTGACTAGTTGCCTAGTGAGTCTAGTGTCCACTTGTTTCTCGTTTTTATTGGGGGTGCAGTGGCAGGTATTCTCCCATTTTGAGACCAACTTGAAATGACGTTCCAAGATTCTCACGAGGCAGTTCTGATTGCTGCGAAGCGAAACAAAGCCGCTTTGGAGCTGCAAGCGGCTGGAGTGAAGCTTCCTGGCTGGGACTTCAAGCAAGGGGCTTTCAGCTAAAACAGCTGATTGCTCAGCACCAGTTGTACAAATCTTCAAGCGATCTACAGAATCATTCGATGTGATTGGCCAACCGGATTTTCTCGTGACTGCGACCATGGCCGTGTCCAACAAAAGGGCAGAGTTGTTGAGTACTGAACACATGGCACCCACTTGCAAGCAGTGCTTCTACCTGGCACAGCGACCAGAGCTCCCCCAAGACATCGCCTGGTACCAGACCTGTGGTCTTGGGGCAGACGAGGCCCATTCTCGCCTCCTCGTAAAGGAACGAAGACACTCTATATATATATATATGGGTGGGTGTTTATCATCTAGGCCTACGACATCTGACATATATATAATAATATATATAACATATATATAACATATAAAACAACGTTTATATTTACAAGCATACATATATATACACATTTTGTTTGACAGGACTCTGCATTGTCGGTGATCGACAACCTGCTTCCAGAGGAGGGAAAGGCATGTGACCGCCTGTGACTCGATCGGTGAAGTGGAAGAGCCTTTGTACAGTAATCCCCATCAACCGATTGAGAATTCTTTGGTGGTTTGCCAGAAGTAGTCTTTAGCCAGTGGGCTTACCATCACAGCGAAACTCCCTTATAAATTCATGAAACTATTCCATATATGTGCAGTTTCAGAAATGCCTCTGAAATATGGGTAGGAATGGAGAGATAGTGCATATGGCCCCAAAAGATGCTTTTCCGAAGTCGAGTTCTGTACCATCTCAGTTCTGCACCTCTGATCCCATACGGCCTGAGTGAGTGGAATGAGTCGAGTGAGTCGCACAAATACACGTAAACACAATATGGGTGGAGCAACATGATGGAATAACCTCCTTTCCTACCTTTTTCCATGTTTTTGTGTTAGGGCTCCAACTCTCATCAATCCGTACAACTGCTACCAGCCATTCGTCTCCAATTCCTTTACCATTCGGAACTTGGTATTCGGATGCTTCGCCGGGCTTCACGTGGGCTCACCAAGTCGGTCACGGTCGCGCGCCTGTTTGGTGTTCAAGCTGAAAGCCACGAGCCGACCGCCGCGAGCCGAGCGCCGCGGCGGTGAAGCTTGGACCCCCAGAGCAAACCCGACGCGTTCGACGCGTGAAGCTTGGCACGCACTCGGAAACAGCTCAAACGTCCTCGGTTCTGACAAGAAGATTTGACAAGATCCAATGAGGAAGATCGGCTCTTTCATTCATTTTCGAAGTCGGCCTCTTTCAGCCCAGATTCAGAGCCACAATTTCTAATGCCGTTGTGAGGCGCCAGGGAGATGGGGTGTGGGCCCTCAGTTGGGTGGTGACAGGTCTACGCGGTCGCGGTCGCGCCGAAAAGCGGCTGAGGCAGAGCTGTTGCCGCTCCCTGGATGCCAGAGCCTTGTGTGATGATGCGCCCAGCCAGGTGGAGAAATCGTGCTTCGTTAAGTGGTTTGGGTGGATAGATTCTGAGTGGGGACAATCAAGCAGAATATATAGTATGTCACAATAATATGTCACTATGTTGTACCTGCCCTCGAATTGCAGGGAACATGCTTCAACGCAGCTGTACTATGTTGTACCTGGCAGTTGCGGAAGTGACTCTCTCAGCATTTGCTCCGCTGGTGTGACTGTGCAGCCCGCAGGTTTCTCCCGAGTTTACAGAGGCGGTTCCGCCGCGCTGGCGCTGTATCAGCGTGGTTGATCTCATGATATCTGACTTTGGGACGACTTTTGCCAAAACACTGTCAATTTGTCAGACTTGTCATATATAGTATAGTATCAGTATATAATAGTATAATAGTATTTGTTCCAGTCAAATTGGGGTCTCACTCTCTTGGTGCGACAGATTCCGCGTCTCAGGCCGGAGCTTTTGAGGCGGCGTGCAGACAGCGAGATGGCGAGATGATGAGTTGGTCCATGAAGTCAAGTAAGGATGTATTTACAAAAACAGGCACTGTACAAAGAGGGGGTCCCCAACCAATGGGTTTTGGTAACTCTTTATTTCCTTCTTACTAAGGCGTTTCTGAGAGGTCTCAGCAATTGAAGACACACCCAGGCAGCTGATCAACTTAACATTTAGTTGGCTCCTCTAAGCTGTTGGCACCAAGCTCAAGGCGGTCAGATGTTGGAAGAGTTTCAACTTGACCCTATACAACACCTTGTGTTCTTGGCAAACCAAGATCACATTGAGTTTCTCCAATGGACAGTCCAAGAATGATTTTAGGTTAGTTTGTTTACCCCAATAAACAGGTCAATCTGGGGGTCTGGACCGTTGTTCCCACAGATCGAGACGCTCCTACAAGAGCTCTTCCGGCATGGAGTCCCAGCGAGTTGAGACGTGACATCCGCAAAAACACGGGAAACAAAAGAAGGCGGTGGGAAGCGGTGGGAACCGGTCACCGCTTTCTGCTTTCGGATTTCTTCACGAATTTGGAGTGGAAGGACACAGCGTCCGTCTTTCCACTGCACCCGTGACCTTTCTCGTTAGACGGAGATGACTCCAGAAATTGGGCGATTCCGCGGTGAAAACAGACGCAGTGCAGCCGATTCAGCCCAAGCACAGCTCCGAACATCTTCAGCATCGCCCATGGCGCCTCTTGGCTGACCATGGCGCCCGTGAGAGACGACCGGTCACAACCGGTGAACCGGGGACTGGATTCAAAGATAATGTTGGATCCTGATTAGTAAAGGCCCCCCCCTCCCTCAAACAAATAGGGGACCCTCTATAATAAACTACCACCAAAACAAATCTGGATTCCTGTGAGGATTCCTTTCTGTAATTGATTGTAGTATTCATTTTCCTTTCATAGATTGTATATCAGCTAATGAATCATAATCATTGGCCTCGGGAGATAAGTAAAGGAAGATTCCATGAGCAGTTTTTTTTTTCCAGTGGGAAAAACTTTTCACAATTGAGAACCACTAAAACAAATCTATTATTGATGATCAGGTGCCTTCCTGGTCTACTACCTTGACAATTTGTTTAGGAACAATGTTTTATAAAGGGTTTAGTTAGGAATTGGTGGTTTTGGAAAGCTGTCAGTTTTGAAGAAACCTAGAGAAACCTATATCAGCTAATCAATCATAATCATTGGCCTCAGAAGGAATTCAAACCCTCATTAATTAGGTGTCCAAAATAAAGAAATGAGGGTCCCCCAAAAAATTTAGCATTATTCAAGACCACTTTTTCAACCATGGGGTCTAGAATAATTTTGGATAACTTTAGCATTATTGAGGACCGGTTTACTAATCAGCATCCAACATTACCCAGCGGTGTTGAAGAGCTTTATGATGCCTCATAGATTGGATGAACATTTTTTACTTTTGTACGCATCCAAATGATTCCACTCTGACTGTGACGGCGTGGTCGGCAAGGCTTGGTGGATTGGCTGGCATCAATTGTCACTGCCAATGGGGCTTGCAACAAGCTGAGAGTGGGTGAAAACACTTGATGCGGCACTTCAGCCGCCAGCCTTTACTTTGATGTTGAGGAGCGGAATTTTGATGGGCATCGTCATCATGCTTGCTGCAGGCGACTTTCGCGCTTCACTGAGCTTTCCAGACATGGTTCCTGGCGCCCGTCAGGAGTCTTTACTGCCCTGCCTGTTTACTTTGACCTCTTTGCCTACCAGTGGTACTACGCGCTGCAACTTGGCAGTTGTAAGAAGTGCCTGTCGAAGGATCACATCCCGATTTGACGATGTGTGTTCTTCAGCGTTTGGGAACAGTTTAGTAGTGGCTCAGGTCACAAGGAACACGATCATTGCGATTATACTGTAGTTGGACTTCCTTGCAGTATTTTTTTTTGCAAGCATGCACAGAGCAATGCACAGCAACCAAATAATCAGGTGCTGGTTTTGGTTCTTGCTCGGAGTGGCACTGCTGGTTTTCGGCATCGCGCATGAGGCGCGCCTGAAACTGGCATGCAAGTTTCAGCTTCTGCAGGTACTTGACTAATGCATTTGTTTAACACTTCGAGAAAGGAGCACCAAGGTTCTAGACTACTTTTGGTTCCAGGTTTCTAACAAGTGATGGCTCAGCTGGCCGTGCTGCGAAAGCTGATGACATGTAGAACTGCAGGCTTGCTGCACTCCAGCCAAGGCGGGTTGAGTCAGCATGTTCAAGACTTGGTGCCGAAGGGAGTGTAAGTGTTTTATGGTTTTGTCACTTTTTTACATTGTTGTTCCCTTTACAAGCTTGAGTCAGGGCCTGTAGGCTCTCAGTAACACGCTCTGAGCTATTTTTTTTCAACGCTTCATGTCTACAAAGAATGGATCACTACGGTTCTCGGGTTTGGGACAAGCACGGAAACTCAGGCCAGGGAGATTGATGGCGCAGAGGAGGATGGAAGCGGTCCAATCAGTGCGCCAACTCCGTACATCATGATCAACTAGAAAGGCTTGGACCTCAGCCTGCCTTCTTTGCGCTCAAAATGCAGGGCTTTACAGAATGCTTTAAGTTGGATTTGTCTTTGTTGTCAGAAGTTAGAGGATAAATGGAGGATCAATATGACGCACATTGATTTAGTCAAGACATGTCATGAACGCCCGATTGGGAAGCAACAATGAGGACACGTTAGGGCAGACGATTTCGCAAGACCATGCAATTTGCTCTTTCCAGGCCCATCCAGGCCCAAATCTATCCTGATCTTCAAAAGCTTTAAGTTCCCCCAAAAGTCTTGACACATCTTGAAACCGTTTCGTATAATAGCTGGCTTCTGCTGTGTCCTTGCTACTACTTACTAGAAAAAACACTGTCCGTCCTTGGATGTTCAAAGGAACGTGCAGCAACAACCAGATTGTCTTGTGCACTCTTGCTTCCTTTGCTCCATCATCACTCAAGGCACCATGCCTCGGAGACAGACTTGGGCAGATTGGCTGAAAGGCGTCCACGTTTTTCTGGGCGCCTGTGGAGCTTCTGTGTAAAGAGCTCGCGAAATAGGTCATTTCATGACGTTTGATGGTGTCCGATGCATGTTGAAAGGACCCTCACTTATTGATCTATTTGGAGATCACTATCAACTTTTCCGAGAAAGAAGAGGCGTCTTATGACATGGCCGAATGGGTCATGATCGATTTACTGGTGAGAACGTTTCTGACGTCGGACAAAAAGCAGCCAAAAGCGTTCGACGCGCGGTGTAACCTCACTGGATTTTGCAAGGGCAACGAACAAGTCTGATACCCATGGACCATGGACCCATGAAAGATGCTTTTCGGAGCAGTGCAAGACAGAGTCACATCTCTTCACGGTTAGGACTTGGTGCGTGGCTCCAAAAAGCTAGAAGAGACCCGGACTCTCCATGTCTCTCCGGTTTTTGCGTTGGCATCCACGATTTCCTCCGTGGGAGTCCGGTCGTGGGAGTTCCGTGGGCTTTTTTCGGGCACATCCAGTCACACGAACTCGGTGTCCCGAAGAGGTTTCTACTGAGGGTAGTAGGTAGGTCTACCTCTACCAGCCAATTGGTTGGGATTCCAGTGATGGGTTC